CCCCAAAACCCCAAAACCCCAAAACCCCAAAACCCCTAAAAATAATAATTGGTGCAATCAAAGTATTTTCTGTAAGTAATTAATGAAAATATTTCCATAATCAATTCAATTAAATCAATAGTTTGCCTGAGCCTGCTTATTATAGCCTCTCTAAGCATTATTAGTGTTGAAGTTAGGATTATTATTCTCCTTGTCAACTTATTACTTGCTAAAGTTTTTCCCACCTTTCTTGGCACCCTTGCCTGACTTGAAACCACCCTTGGGCTGCTCAGCATTTTGAGTCTTTGGTTCTACATGATCCTAAATTTCATTTTTAGTACCATCATCTATTGAGAATGAGACCTACTTCTTTGATTCTTAGTTACTGAACTTCTACTCTTCATTCTTTACAAAGCTATTGCTGTTTCTTGTATTTTCATATGCATTCTTGTTGCTTTGATAAGTAGAGTTGTTTGAGTAGCCACTTTGATTCTAGTTTTAGTAGCCCTGAGTCTTGTAGTTCTAGTTACTGCTGTTGTATGATTAATAGTATTTGTTGGTGTTGCCATAGTACTGGTTCTGATAGTCATAGTTCTGGTAGCTATCATTATTTTAATAGCCTTGGTATTTGTTGGTTTTTTGTTAATTGTAGTTTGAGTTATGGTTGCCGTATTACTTCTTCTTGCTATTTTCATAGTAAGAGTTATTGTTGCTTTGAGTAGAGTTTTGGTTGTTGTTGTAAACCTACCTATGAGATCTCTGAGAAGTATCTTAGATGTTTGAAGTATTCATCTATAATTCCTGTGCAGAGTTTTCAACGCGTTTGCTATTACTCAAATCACTAACAGTATTGTTTTACCAATTACCTGATTGGCTATTCTTGCCCTTGAAGAAACTGTTGTCATTGGTGTTGCTGTTTGTGAATGAATTCTAAGCTCCTGCCCCACTCACATTGAAATCTTAGTTTCTTGAGGAGTTAAAGTAACTCTTCTTGTGGAAGGTTTTACTTTAATTAGCTTCAGCGTCATACTAAGTTGGCTGAGCTGGTACATAGTTCTAGCAGGGAGCTTGATTGTTGTTATATCCATTATTGTTGTAATTGTTGCTATGGTGATGATTGCCGTGATAGTTTGATTGATTGTGAGGAGGTCTCTGCTGGTATCCTCCTTAGAATCTATTGCCTCCGTAGTACATATTCTCTTTAGAGTCTAGGTATCCCATAATCTGCTGAGTAAGTTCAGTCTTAGTCTGGGGGTTGCCTGGGTTCCATTTGCTCAGTTCATTCATGATATTTGGGCCAACCTCACTAGCAAGCTGGACGTGAGAATCAAAAGCATCCTTGAGTAATTCAAGAATGGTCTCAAACTTTTGGCTTTGTAAGCAGCCGTTGATCATTGTAGAATAAGTCAATGAGTCTCCTCTGATACCCTACTATCTCATATCTTTAAAGATTTGCTCAGCCGTTTTCAATTGTCTGGACTTGATACAGGTTTGAAGGAGGCATGTATAGACGATAAGACCTGGCTTGATGCCGTCTTTCTTCATCTCTTCAAGTACTCCTAATGCTTTGGTAAGATTTCTCTACTTTCCATAGATCTTCACAAGAATACTGTAAGTAACATTGCTTGGCTTGATTCTTAGAATCTCCATATTTTTGTATACTTTGAGAGCCATCTCGATCTCATTAGCTTTGCAGCAACCGTCTAAGAGAGAATTGTACAGGACCTCATCAGCTTGTATCTGTTAATTTTCCATTTCATTCAAGATGACTAATGCCTAATGAATATTTTTCTCTTTGCAATAGCCTTTAATCATGGTGCTGTAGGTGATCAAGTCAGGTCTGATCTGTGGGGACTTTTTCATTTCATCAAAGATCTCACTTGCTCTCTGGATGGCATTGCATCTGATACAGCAATCAATCATCGAGTTGAAGGTCACATTATTTGGCTTAATCTTGTCATCTAGTTTCATGACTTCATAGACTTCCAAAGCCTACTCAAGTTTATAGGCCTTAGCAAAGCCTTTAATTAGTGTAGTGAAGATGATAGTGTTTAGCTGGACACCGTCTTTCTTCATAGTTTCAAACACCTCCATAGCTTGGTCAATTTAGTTGTTTTTTACACAGGCATCTATCAGACAACCATATGTCACTGAGTTTGGAATCAAGTTGCTTTCTTTCATCTTTCTGAATACAAAGAATGCATTCTCAAGTTAATTAGCTTGTCCATAAGCCTTGATAAGGATGCCATATGTTACTGAACTTGGCTTGATATTGGAGAGCTGCATTTCATGGAAAACAGCGACAGCTCTATTAACATCATGGAATCTGACACAAGCATCTATCAAGCAATTATACAAGATCTCATCTGGTTTGACATGGTTACTATGTTTCATTTATTCTAGCAATCCGAAAGCCTTCTCGAGATCCTATTAATTAGAGATACCACTTTGACTTTAATTCTCAGCTCTGATTCCCTTGATCAAAGTACTGTAAGTGAAGTTATCTGGAATGATATTGAAGGTCTTCATCTCAGTTAGCAAGGCCCAGGCACTCTTCATACTATTGCATCTTACACAAGCATCTATCATTGAGTTATAGGTCACATCATTTGGTTTCAAGTCACATCTTTTCATTAGGTTGAACATTTCAAAGGCCATTGATAGTTTTCTTTCCTATGAACATCCCTTGATAATGGTGTTAAAGGATATTTCATCAGGTCTCACATAGAACTTTGACTGCTCTTGGTTATTCTCATCAGCTCCTTCATTACCATTCAATAACTCATTGTTAGATTATTTTATTTGCTTGAATAATTGAACGGCTCTGTCTAGTTACTTGCAGTTGATACAGGCATCTAGCAAGACATTGAATAATATCTCGTCTGGTTAAAATTCTTGAGACAAAAGCAGCTATTGATAAAGTTGGAAAGCTTTATCAAGATCACTGGTTTGGTCTGTTCCCTTGATTCCTTTGAATAGAGTTGAGTAGGTGTAGTTATCAGCTTTAACTCCTTTAAGTTTCATTTCCTCTAGAACTTGCCAAGCTCTTGCTTAGGAGTTTGATCTGACACAACAATCAATCAAAGAGTTGTAGGTAATGGTGCTTGGTACTACACCTTCAGAAATCATCTCATGATAAATATTAAAAGCTGAGGTGAGTTAAGATGACTTTGAACAACCGTCAAGCAATGAGTTGTAGAGCACTTCGTCTGCCTTTATTCCTCTCTCCTTCATGAGTGTTAGAGTTTACAGAGCATTTGGTAATCTCTAATACTTGCAGTAACCCTTGATAATTGTGCTGAATGTCATTAAGTCAACAAAGTTTTCACTTATCAGATTCCCACTTAACTCTACAGTATGAATTAACAAAATATTTTTTTACCTTGAGTTTTAGCAAGATTTCGTTAGAAAATTGACTCTGCTTCATTTAACTGATCATTTCTTATCAAGCAGTCAAGGACTTAGTTAAGAACCAAGGATTAGTTGATATCTTTGTTGTAATCTGGATGATTAGTGTATGTGTCAAAATGATTCATGACCAACTAGAACTGATTTTACTTGGAGAGGTATTTGATCAAGAGTTTCAATGTGCTAATCTGAATCTGATAGTTTTCACCAATCAGTTGAAGAATATCTTAGATCAGATATCCTTTGTTTCCTCTGAAGCAGGATTCAATGATTGGATTAAGGTGGCTCTCAGCTGAGATTGGCACTCTGAGTTCGAGCATTTTCTGAACAATAACTAGTCCCTTCTATGCACTCTTTGTGAACATGACTCCTTTTGCACTCACCTTGAAAAACTCCTCCACTTATTTTAGGTCACTTTCTTTAGAGACTGAACTGATTTTGAGTTTGCTCATGATGTCCTACTATATCTCATAGAAATTTCCATTCTTTCTGTATAGCAGCAATGCCTCCATGTACTTTGAGTAGGCTTCTAGTGAAATGTCATTCACTTTCATGTACTTCTAGAGTCTTTTGAATTAGTTAGCGATTGAAGAAGTAGATTCATCTTCCAACTGAGTTTGCTGAGCAAGTTTTAAGAAGGCGTAGAGCATCTTAACCTTCTCTAAATCCTCCTCATAGCTGAGAATATTAGTCTCCATGGTGTTTCTTTGCTGACTGATAGCTCTCTAAGAGATCACTATAATGGCTGTATCCATAACTTTAGAGTTGAAATCAGTATTAGTGATGGTAGATACAGTCTAGTTGAGGTTGTCTGCATTGCTTTCATTTGGTGAGGCTTCTATAGTTCTTGTATTATTGAAAGCGATTTTAGTGAAAAAGTCAAGTTTAAGCTAGAAAAGGGCTACTTTAACATATCCTTCGATGGTAGAAAGGTTTTATCTTGGTACAGCATTTGAAGTAGAATGACAAGAATTGTCATTTGAGATGGTGATTTATGAATTCATTTAAAAATTTAGATTATTCAAATATTCAAATTTAATCAGTTAACTTGCGCAGTGGGGTTTTGGGGTTTTGGGGTTTTGCATTTTGTGTTTAAA